GAAACAACCAATACACACGAAACCATGTCTCCCACATCTCCCGCACATACACAAATCTCACCCACTGAAACGGAAACTTTACATTTATCTTTAAATATTCCCTCTGACCTTACTATAATTCCACCTCTGAGACAATCAACTCGAACCAAACAACCTCCAGTGTGGCATAGAGACTTCTTAATGCAAACTCAAGCTAACCAATTTCCCTCGTCACCAAGTTCTGCAACAGGTACACGATACCCACTTTCTCTTTTTCTTTCATATACACGGTTTTCACCTTCACATTCTGCTTTTTTAGCTACCATAACAGAACACTCCGAGCCCAAAACTTATGATCAGGCTATTCGTGATCCAAATTGGCAACAAGCCATGAATACTGAATTGGAAGCATTACAACTAAACAACACGTGGATTTTGGTTCCTAGGCCCATCGGTCACAAACCAATCGGTTGCAAATGGGTCTATAAAATCAAATATAGATCCGATGGAACAATTGAACGTTACAAGGCTCGTCTTGTTGCTAAAGGGTACAATCAAGTGGAGGGAATTGACTACAAGGAAACATTTTCACCAACAGCAAAACTTACTACCCTTAGATGTCTTCTTACTGTCGCAGCTGCTCGCCAATGGTTCATTCACCAATTGGATGTCCAAAATGCATTTCTCCATGGTGATTGACATGAAGTTGTCTACATGGAACCTCCACCAGGTCTTCGCCGACAAGGGGAGAACACTGTATGTCGGCTCAATAAGTCTCTTTACGGACTTAAGCAAGCGTCAAGAAATTGGTTTTCTACATTTTCATATACTATTCGGAAGGCCGGTTATTAACAATCTAAAGTTGATTACTCACTATTTGCCAAAGATCAAGGTACTTCTTTTACAGCAATTCTTATATATGTTGATGATATACTCCTTACAGGAAATGACCTACATGAAATGGAACGACTCAAAAAGTTTCTTCTGAAGCGCTTTCTTATCAAAAACCTTGGAAACTTAAAATATTTTTTGGGAATTGAATTTTCACGCTCCAAGAAGGGTATTTACATGTCCCAAAGAAAATATGCGCTAGATATTCTACAAAACTCAGGGCTTTCAGGCGCACGTCCGGATAATTTTCCGATGGAGCAAAATTTGAAACTCACTACCACTGACGGAGCATTGCTAAATGATCCAACAAAGTACAAAAGACTGGTTGGCAGATTAATTTATCTATCAATGACGAGACCTGATATGGTCTACGAAGTTCGTACATTGAGCCAATTCATGCAATAACCTAGAATACCTCATTGGAATGCTGTCAATCGAATTCTCAAGTACATTAAAGGTACACCCGGTCAAGGAGTATTACTTCCTTCAAATAACAAGTTAGATTTAAAAGCATTTTGCGATTCAGATTGGGGTGGTTGTCGCACCACAAGAAGATCAGTTACAGGATATTGCATCTTTCTTGGAAATTCTCTAATTTCATGGAAATCAAAGAAGCAGGCCAATGTCTCAAGGTCGTCGACGGAGGCTGAGTATCGAGCCATGGCTAACACATGTTAGGAGCTAACGTGGTTACGATATATATTATACGACTTGAAAGTTCCTCAAACGACTCCTACTCCATTATTCTGCGACAATCAAGCAGCTCTTCATATTGCGGCGAATCCGGTTTTCCATGAACGTACAAAACACATTGAAATAGACTGTCACATAGTACGAGAGAAAATACAAGCAGGAGCCCTCAGTCCCTCTTTCGTGCCCTCACATTTGCAACTAGCTGATGTATTTACGAAGGCCTTAGGAAAGGATCAGTTTCTGAATCTACGTGGCAAGTTGGGACTTATTAACATTCACTCTCCAACTTGAGGGGGAGTATTAGGAGATATATTAATAATATTGTAATAATCGTGTATATTTATGTTTCCATATTAATGTAAATCAAATCCTATTGAAAGGGGATCACGGCTGTCAAGCCTTAGGATTAGTTGCATGTACACTGTACACTTTTGTATATATATATGTGTTCCTCTGGTAATGAAAATACATCACAATTTCTTCCATTAATTTATTCAACCATTATCATTATGCTTACTCTATTATTTTAGAGACTGTAGACCCTTTTTGTGGTTTGCTTATTTTGTTGTCTTTACTAAGGGTAAAAAATAAAAATAAAAATAAAAATAAAAAAAGAAATATCCTTGAGCTATACTTAATTACGAGAATCCCCTTTTAGTTACACAACTACAATTACCAGATATAAGTTGGATGGAATGAATCGAAATTTCCATTTTTCGGAAAATTTCCATTTTACGGAAAATTTCCATTTTACGGAAAATTTCCATTTTTCTTCTGAAGTACAAAACCAATTTCAATTCCAATTCCAATTCCATAATTTTCAGAATCTAGAAATTCATTCCAATTTCAAAAAGCTACGGAATTTTCGGAATTAAATTGAATCGAAAATTGGAAATTCCTAATATTTTTTATATAATTCCAATTCCAATAAAAAAATTTGGAAAATATAGAAAATTGAAATTTTGGAAATCAAAATGAAAAGAGTTGTTCCAAAATCGAAACTTTTCGGATCGGAATCGGTTCCTTCCAACTTTCACCTTTAATTACAACTATTTTTTTTCTTTCAAATTAACGGCCCTTCAGAAACTTTCAATGAGCCAATAACACAAATACACCAGCATCGGTTTTTGACAAGGTTCGTCGTCCATTTAGATAAGAATGACTACAGTTTTAGTCCCCATATTATACATTTTTTTTATTTTGGTCCAAACTTTTTCCGGTACATTATTGATCCTCAAATACTAAGTTTTTTTTTTTTTTTTTTTTACAATTTTCGTCCGCCATTTGAAATTGTTGTAAGTTTGGACGGAAAAGTCACGAGCAAGGCATGTGATCATGCACTTCTAACCCCTGTCTTGCCTATATTTTTTTTATTTGACCCTAGTTTAACATTATTATTATATATTCGTCCAAAAAAAATCAAATCCCCAAAAATTGTTCCGAATGCCCCAACCTCTCCCCGTCTATTTTCACCTCCGCCGCCGAGCCATCAACTAGGCATCCGTGCCACTTTTTTTTATTAATTGAAATGATTTTAAATTGATTTATTTTTTTAATTCATATTTAAAATTGAAATACTATTAAAAATTTATTAAGGAATAATAAAAATAGAATAAAATTTATAAGATTAGGCAAAATCGATTTTATTGTATAAACGACTAAAAACAAATATTTCTGAAATTACAATATATGTTAATTATTTTTTACATATTAATAAGTATAAACATGAAATAAATTATATTTATAAAATTAAAGAAACCTCTTTAATAAAAGTTGGTATAATCAAATTAGTTATAGCGTTTTCGATTAAAAAAATTAAAATAAAGAAATAAATAATATTTGTGAATAAAATATAATGTACTAGTTCCTAGAAATCCTCCTATAGTATTTTTGTCATTTCACATTTTTAGTACATTTCTCGAATTTAATTTTATTTGGACGAAATTGTAAGAATAAAGTGATAATATTGTTAAATTAACAATATAGGTAAAAAGACGGGGTTAATATGCATTGTCACCAAATTGGGGCCAAAATTGAAAAAAAAAAACTGGTTATTTGATGATCAATTTCGTGTCAGAAAAAGTTTAAGGATCAAAATTGAAAATGGTGTATAATATATATTTTTTCATTAAAGCTGTAACTATTCCATTAAAAATATATATAAATTTTTCTAGCCCCAATTTTCTAATTTTAATTTTAACCCCAAAATAATATTTTTCGTGTGGGCCAAATATGTCTAAAACGGGCCAATTTAATTTGTATTTTACCCAAACCGAAACACGAGGATTAAAAGTAGAATTCGAGAAAACATGAGGGGCAAAAAAAAAAAATATAATTCGATTTTTGATCAAATAAGAACTCTTTTCACATTGGAATCTGTGGCCAAATAATACCTAATTCTCAGCAAATTCCTTATTAATTAGAGAAAATTAGAGGCTGCTCTCCGGCGAACTTTTGAAGGTGACCAACCGGTGAATTTTGTTGCAGAGAGACAAGCGATGAGCTCTATTGTAAAAACTCAATTTACAGCCCGTGAGTTTTCCGTTTGTTTTTTTAATGTATTTGGCTGCGTGAATTTGGTTTTTTAACAGATCGCCGTTATCTGTTGAAACTATGAAATCCTAACCAATCAATTCAATTCTTTGAGGTTTTCTCCCCTTTTTGTTTGAGGGCTTCAAAAAAAAAAACTTTGATCTTTGATCTATTAAGTAGTGATGGAGTCTAGAACAAAAACTCTTCCAATGTGCAAAAACTTTGATCTTTGATCTATTTACCAAATTTGCAATCATGACTAAATTGTTGAGCTAACGATTTGTTTATTTGTTTATTTTAAAAAAAGAAAAAAGAAAAAAAAAAAAAAACACACTACCACCTAGGGGTGTAAATCGCCAATTCCTATTCGAAAATATCCGAATCTGGAACCATATTTTTCATTCCGATTTCCCATTCTTCCGAGTTTAATTGGAACATGATTGGAGTGGTATATAAAATTACCGGAAATTCCGATTTCGGATCCGATTTTTTCAAGTGGGGAGTGAATGAAAGTCGATATAGAAATCCACATTTTTCGATACCCAAGTTTGCCACAAAGAAGCTCATTTCCAACGCTGGAAGAGCTACAACTGCTACAATATAATTTTACGATATATATTCAATAATACCCTTTTGGAATTTGTGTAAAATTTACAGATTCTTTTGTTAACTGTTCTGTTCGCACAAGTTTAGTTTAGTTACTTCAACCACACACACACACACACACACACACACACACACACATATATATATATATATATATATATATATATATATATATATATATATATATATATATATATATATATATATATATATATATATATATATATATATATATCAAAAGAATATTCAAACTCAAGTATGAGGACTTGGCTGTTTATACAATATTCGAACTCAAGTATCTACCTCTGCCATTTCCAATTCGGCAAACTTTATCGTGGAAAGATTGTGCGCCATGATCGTACACTAACTGTGATGGTAAAGATGTGGGAAATCCTGGAAAAATATAACTTCGAACGTGGAGATAACGAACGCAGACTAATGGTATATACACGTTTTTCCACGTATTATTATTATTATTATTTTTATATTAGTTATTCTTGAAATTAATTGCTACTTTCTTTAATTTGTATATCCAGGATGAAATCATGTTACTTCGCCACGAAATGCATCCAGGCATGGTAAAGTTGTATGGATATTGCAACGAAAATCATAATTTGGGTGCTGTTTATGAATTCAACCCGTTCGACTCGGTTTTTAACCTCATTCCTAAAGGTATTGACATTTATTAATTAATATGATAAATCTTATTTCTTACAATAATATAATTGATAATTGAAGAATAATTTTTTAATTCATCTGTAGATGGTTTCACTTGGCTGCAAAGAATGAAAGTTGCGCTCGGATTTGCATCACTCCTCAAATTTATGCACGCTCCAAAGTGTTCGTTTTACAAACCTTATATAGTCCGTAACCTTGACTGCGCTCATATAGTTGTTGACGAGGTGTGTGTTGTTATAAGTGTTCGTACTTGAATTCAATATCATATAATAATTTTTATTTATTTTTTATTATTATTATTATTTTGCAGGACTATAATCCTAAATTATGCGATTTTGGTTTGATAACTGGTGGAATATTCCCCGATAGGACAATATATATAGGCCATCTTGTACTTGGAAGCTATGGCTACATTGATGTTGATTCGTTCTATCAAAGTAGTGTTTCGACTTTTCACTTTGTTATATTACGTATTGATTAAATTCGTAATAGATGTTAATCGTCATCGTATTTGCTTACAGGTTCATCTTCGGATAAACAAGATGTGTTTGCATTTGGGGTTATACTTCTCAACTTGGTTTCCAAGAGAGTTTACAATGCAGACGATACGATTAGAAGAAAGGAAGTAGATGTTGTCGATTGGGCTCTGGAAAAATATAATAAGTTCCTTAAATTACTCGATAAAACGAGTGAGAGTGAGTGGAAGAATATCATTTTTTCAGTTGTTGATCAAAATATAGTAGCAGAATCTGATTTTGAGGCTGCTGACGAGGAGAAGATTTCCGAGCTGGTGATTGACTGTATTAGAGGAAAACCCGACGAACGACCTACTATGAAGCAAGTTATCAAATCTCTTCTCAAACTTAAATCCGTCAAGAAAAATGCCGACTTTCTTGGAGTGACCAAACGCGTACGCACGTGCGCGAATCCCAAGTCGGCTTAGGTGTATTATAATCTATTGTTGTTTTATGGTATTATATAAATTATTTATGAACTGATATTTGATCTAATCTAATTTAGTATTATATATGAAAAGAAGGTACAACATGAATGAATATATTTGTCAATATATAAATGAAAATGAAGAGGATGGGTATGTGTAATTCAGGTGCGGTCTATTTACATGAATGAAGTTGTTTTGTGCTTAAGCTATAAAAAAACGATCGAAAAACTCAGCCTCAAAAAGTGCTTTCCACTTCAACTTCCTTTCTTGCTAGTTGAGTTCGGAATGAATGTCAACAACACAACAAACGCAGTACATGCGTGCATCTTTGTTCTCAATCATGAACACCTTCGAATTACTTACTCACTAGTGCAATCTGCGTGACTACAAATTGGCATCGTAGGTATGTATGTGCTTAGACGAAAAATTAAAAAAAAAAAAAAAAGGTACACGATTAGCTTTTAATCACCATCAGATTGGTGAATCTACAAAAAGTTACCAAATCTTGGAGTTTCTCTACAAAAAGAATGTATTTAACAGAGGTCAGCTTTCGAAGTTTCAATAGCCATCTTCGTCAAATCACCTGCCAATAAAGAGAATCAACATATTATTCCAGGCCAGCAAAAAGGATGTTTACCAAAGTTCCATAAATACTGAATAATGAATAAATGTCGAGGCAAATAGCTCAAGCACAAAGATAGACTATGGGTATAACAATACATGATAAGCCCACATATCCTTTTTATACACGACACAATAATGTGGAGCCAACGAAAAAAGAAAACGGCAACAAATAAAGCTCCCATAAAAAAATAAAAAATAAAAATAAAAAATATCATATTTACGATATGTGCAACTATGTTCTGTTTAAAATTAGTTCACATATTCTTTTGGTACATAACACAATAATCTTCAGCTAAAGAAGAAAGAAAACCATAACAAATACGGATCCTATAAAAAAAGAATTCATATCAACGAACAAGAGAACCTGTGACGTGTAACTATGTTTTGTTTAGTATAACCTCACCTATTTTTTTTATACATGATACAATATCTGCAGCCGACGAAAAAAGAAAATCACATCAAATACAGATCCTAATTAAAAAAAAAATATATATATATATATATAAAAGATAAAGCATATCAACAAACAAGAGAACCTCTTACGTGTAACTATGCTCTGTTTAGAAAAGCTCACATATTTTTTTTTTTTTTTTTTTTTTGATACATGACACAATAATCTGCAGCCAACAAAAAAGATCACGTCAAATACAGATCCTATAAAAAAAAATCATATTAACAAACAAGAGGACCTCTTACGTGTAACTATGCTCTGTTTAAAATAAGCTCACGTATTTTTTTTTTCTATATTTTTTTTGATACGTGACATAATAATCTGCAGGCAAAGAAATACGAAAACCACATCAAATACAGCTCAAGCACAAAGATAGAGATTATGGGTATTACAACACACGATAAGCTCACATATTTTTTTGATACATGCAATCTGCAGCCGAAGAAGAAACAAAACCACAACAAATACAGCTCCTATAAAAAAAATCATATCAAACAAGAGAAGCTCTGGATGTAACTACTGTTTAAGTTGGTTGTGATCAGAGTAAAGATCTGAGCATGATTCATACATTTTATCTTCTGATCCAAGTACCATCAATCTGCTAGCATTTAATAATTGTGGAAGTTGCACTATTAGATTTATCATGAGCTAATTAAGCCGTAAACTTTGAAATGCACATAGATATGATGAAAATAAAGTGGTTGTTTCAATTTGAAGTTCTTTTCTTTTGTTTAGAAACGAAAAAAAATTCCAAGGATAATAAACTAATAATATCTATTATTATTCTTACCATGTAATGTCTTCCTTCAGCAGTAAATCCAATCCAAAACGGATATCTTCAATTTCCGTACTGCTTCCTTCATTTTCCGCGACTCCATCTTCCGTATTACGTCGTCTATGGCGGAACGGTTCTCTGCTTTATCACTTGTGCACGCAGCTGCCAAGTCACTAACCTCCCATGCATCCTCGTCATTGCATCCACATCCAATGAACTTCTTGTTGACGACGTGTTTATCCTCTCTCATTTGACGAGCCGCGGTAATAACAATGTGATAGGATTTTCCTTCTTCGTTCGACGCATTTTTTTCTTTTCGTTTTTTTTTTCCAGTTAACTTCTTATCGATAATTTTTACCTTTTTCAAAGCTGTTGTGCTGTAGTCTATAGTTCCAGCCTTGCTGCAGTCCATGACCATTTGCAATAAAATGACCCCGAAGCTGTATATATCAACTTTATTCGATACTTTGTTTCCTGTTTAAGACAATTTTTTAGTAACAATAATAAATAAATAAAGTTAGACACACTACTACAATATACATTTATTGGGACACTTAGTTTGGGATACAATTTTGTCAGTGGCTCAAGAAAATAATATTTGCATACTTTTTGTTATTTACTCAACATAACTTGAAGAGACACTTTTATATTTTATATCCAGTTTGAAACTACATGGAATATGATATCACCAAGAAATATTCAGTACACTTAATATGACTTTTTGTTGTAACGACATGTGTGTATTGTGGAACACATTTTAATATTAGTTATAAATAAATAAGGGCAATGATTATAAATAAGGGCACTTATTTACCAGTAGAGGAAGAAAATAGTTCAGCTGCAGCATGGGAATGGTTGGCAGCCGGTAGGTACTCTCCCGTTTTCTTTGCCGACCCAAAGTCGCACAAGAAAACGGAAAAATCCTAGAAAATGTCCCAAAATTACTGAGTATATATTTGCGTGCATATAATGTATATGGAATTAACTAATGTTTTGGAAAATACCTTAGCTATAAGGAGATTATCCGGCTTTATATCGGCAAAAATATACTTTTCCTCTCCTAATGCTCGGATTGCATATGCAACTTGAGTCAATACGTGTAGAGTTTCATGCCAATTGAAATTCGAAACTGATACAAAGTATAAAATGTGAAAATTGGATAAACACAAAAACCAACAAGAAAATCGGTATCAACAACTGTTACCTTCAATTACTTGCTGCAACGTATATGGGACATAATTCATCACTATGTAAAAATGAGTGCTCCAGCAGAATCCTAATGGTTCTACAATGTTCGAATAGCATCCCAGATCAGAATATGCTTGTCTCTCGGTCTGGACAAAAAAAATAAAAAAGACACGGTTAAAATTATTTACAAGTATTAAAATATAGCTAGTAATACAAAATGAATGGATAATTAAAACCTCAGCCAGATCTGCATGTTCAGCTTCGTATTTTTTTACAGCAACCTCTTTTGCATCCCAATTTCCTTTGTAGACAGATGCAAATGATCCAGAACCACATTCTTCCAAGGGTGTGATAATTTGAATGATTTCGTCGTAGCTGAAATCAGTTAGGACCTGTAAATCAAAATTTTTTATAGATTATTAGCAAATAAAATACATTCAAAACATAGAAAAATGTATTTGTGTAAAAATATTACAGGTTTTGGTCTTCTCGGGGGTTTCTGATAAACCTACAGTTACATCTACACCAAATGAGGCTGCAATCAGCCGATAATCTCTCCAAGAATCAGCAGCAAGGCCACAAATCATCTTGTAATTAATGTGTATTATTCTCCATTAAGTCTACGGCTTAAGTCTTGTAATTTCCTATTTTAGTTGTAACAGTTGGTCAACTCCTCTGCATATATATAGAGGTTTGTAATAGTAGAAAATATAATACAATTCATTCTTCCAAACATATTATTTTATATGGTACAGAGCTTTTAAGCAAAACCAGAATATTTTTTTTCTCCCTCTTTCTTGTTTCCTTCTACCACTCTCTTCTAGTCCAATCATGGCTACACCGGTCACGGTTACGACAAATGCTTCTGACCCTTCCTTGTCTTCTCTTCCCCAAGTTATCTCGCTCAACACAGCCACACTCATACCCCAAAAACTGAACGGACAAAATTATTCCTTGTGGAGCTCTCAAATGACAAATCTCCTCCTTGGCTACGATCTCATGGGTTATATAGATGGCTCTTTTCCGTGTCCACAAGAGACTGCCCCAGAATTCAAAGTTTGGGGGCGCCAAGATCGCTTACTACTTCTTGCTATTCAAACCTCTGTTCAAGGACCAGCAGGACCTCTAATCACTCGATGTGCAACTGCTCAAGAAGCCTGGAAGACACTAGCAACGACTTATGCGAACAAGTCGAACACTCGAATTGTAAGTCTCATTGAAGCTCTCACTAAACTCAATCAAGAAGGGAAAAGTATGTCTGAATACTTACAATCTGTCAAAACAATTATTGATGATCTCAATGCCATCGGACACAAAATGAGTGATGGAGAAGTCGTTGTTCACACACTCAACGGACTTCCCAATTCCTTCAAAGAAATCAAGGCTGCGTTAAGGGCTCGAGAGACGGCTATTTCTTTCGACGAATTGACGGAAAAACTGGTCGACTATGAGACAACTCTCAAACACTCAAATGCCACTAAAGAAGAGCTCTCAATTACTGCTCAATTTTCTCAAAAACAGCCGTTGAGAAGGGGCAAATTTAACCAATTTTCTTCTAGGCAATCCTCCTATGCAGGTAACAACAATGGTTATCGTGGTACTCCCGGCAACTCAGTTTCTCAAAATGGAACTCGTAATTTCAATAATCACACTATTCAGCCGTGGCGCAACTCTGGCATTCAAATGCAATCTCGACCTGTTTGTCAATTATGTGACAAAGTAGGCCATGTCGCAAAATATTGCCGGTCACGACCTCCACCATCCAATTGGCCACAAGCAAATCTTGCAGCCCGCAATTCCACGAGCAACAATTCTGGTTGGCTAGTCGACTCTGGAGCCTCTCATCATATTACCTCCGATTTACAAAATCTTGCTATTCACTCCGATTATGGTGGTAATGAAGATATAATTGTCGGTGATGGTAATAACATTCCTATCACTCACATTGGCTCTACTGCCCTTAATTCTCATAATAACACTTTCAAACTTAATAATGTTTTGTGTGCACCCCGTATCAAGAAAAACTTACTTTCCGTTTCCCAATTTTGTTCTCAAAATAAAACATCCATTGAATTTTTTCCTCATTTTTTTCTTGTGAAGGATCTAGCTACGAGGGCATCCTTGGTGCGAGGCCGGAGTAAGGGCAATGTTTACGAGTGGCCTACCTCTACCACTGATTTCTCTCGACCATCCTCATCATTAGCATGCATAGCACAAAAATCTAACTCCCTTTCACCATCAATCTACCTTTGGCATAATCGTCTCGGTCACCCATCTTCCAAGGTTCTCCACCAAATTATTTCTTCTAATGCCTTGCCTATGTCTAAGAATAATATTTCATCTTCTTGTAATGCTTGCTTATGCAATAAAAGTCACAAACTTCCGTTTGGCTCTTCTACATTACAATGCTCACGTCCTTTAGAAACTCTTTTTATGGATGTTTGGGGCCCTTCACCAATTACCTCTTTTGATAATTTTCGCTATTATGTGATCTTTGTCGACTATTTCACAAAGTATACTTGGCTTTACCCTCTCAAACACAAATCGGATGTCACTTCAGTTTTTATTCGTTTTAAAACTTTAGTTGAAAGATACTTTTCTCAAAAAATTCTAACCGTATACACTGATGGCAGTGGAGAAGCCATAAATCTCGGTCATCTACTTTCAAAACAAGGCATCCAACATCTAAAATCCCCACCTCACACTCCCGAGCATGTTGGCACAGCTGAACGTAAACATCGACATATTGTCGAAACGGCTCTAACTCTTCTTTTTCATTCTTCACTTCCTCTAAAATATTGGTCATAGCATTTCAAGCAGCTACATATTTAATAAATCGGATGCCTTCTGTTGTCACCAAAAAAAAAATCTCCATTTTATCATCTTTTTCAAAAATCACCAAATTACCTCACACTAAAGGTATTTGGTTGCCTTTGCTACCCCTGGTTACGCCCATATAATAGTCACAAACTTGCACCACGCTCTCGACCTTGTGTCTTTATCGGTTATTCTATCCAACACCATGCTTATATGTGTCTTGATCCTACGTCTAACAAAATCTTTATCTCTCGTCACGTCATATTTATTGAAACAAAATTCCCATTCTCCACTCTACAAAAATCGACCGACACAGACTACACTCTTACCTCCTGGCTTTCTCACGAAAATAAAAAACCACAATCAATTATTCCTCATGTGCCTTCGGATTTACCACTCTCTCATACTCTGATTCTTCCAACACATACATGTGCATCTACTCCACAAACTGTTTCTAATGAATCAAGTGCTTTGAGGATGGCCACTCTGCAAACCAATATGCCCGCAACTCAGCTTCAATCCCAGGGTGCTACTACTTCTTCACAGGTAACAAAACCTTCAACCTCTATTTCTCACCATTACAATACCAGACTCAAACACAACATTACTAAACCTAGAGAAATTCTTAATCTCCATACTACCATAAACACGGACCGTGAACCCTCAACCTACAAACAAGCCCAACAAAAACCTGAATGGCGTCAAGCCATGTGTGATGAATATAATGCCTTACTTTCAAATAAAACTTGGTCTCTTGTCCCTAGAACTTCCACACAAAATATTATTGGTTGTAAGTGGGTTTATAAGATTAAGAGGCATCCCGATGGTTCAATAGCCCATCACAAAGCACGCCTTGTTGCAAAGGGTTTCAATCAACGTCCCGGAATTGATTTTTCTGAAACTTATAGTCCAGTTATTAAGCATGCTACTGTTCGGTTAATGCTTACAATTGCTGTTACCAATGGTTGGCCTCTCCGCCAACTCGATGTAAATAACGCTTTCTTCCAGGGATCTTTATCAGATGAGGTATTCATGGACCAACCGCCGGGATTTGTCAACACGGAATTTCCCCATCATGTGTGTAAGCTTAAGAAAGCGATATATGGTCTTCGCCAAGCTCCACGAGCTTGGTATCAAGAGTTGCGTTCATTCTTGCTCAGCACTGGTTTCACTAACTCACACTCAGATACGTCTTTATTCATGTTTTTTGGCTCTACCTATAATCTATATTTTTTGATTTATGTGGATGATATCATTATCACCGGCTCTTCCTTAGACGCTGTCAATGCTTTCATCCAAGTGATTTCTCAACGATTTTCTCTCAAAGATCTCGGTCAAATCTCTTATTTTCTTGGCATAGAAGCCATAAAAGTCCCTGCTGGATTATTCTTATCTCAACGGAAATATATCAACGACCTTCTACAACGTGTCAATATGACTCAAGCCAAACCTGTTGCCACGCCTCTTGCTACAACGGATACTCTTCAACTTCATGATGGGTCTGCATCTGCCGATGCAACATTGTACCGGCAAACTCTTGGGTCTCTTCAATACTTGACTCTCACTCGTCCAGACCTATCATTTGCAATCAATAAACTCTCTCAATTCATGCATTGTCCATCCTTGCTTCATTGGGCGGCCGTTAAACGCTTGCTTCGCTATCTTGCTGGCACTATAGATCATGGGCTCCTCCTACGGAAAAGTTCGCCTCTAACACTTCACGCTTATGCAGATGCAGATTGGGCAGGGGATCCGACTGATCGGACTTCCACTTCAGCATATGTTCTTTTTCTTGGTGCCAATCCCATTTCTTGGAGCTCTAAAAAGCAAAAAACGGTTGCTAGATCATCAACCGAGGCTGAATATCGAGCCATTGCATCTTCTGCAGCCGAACTAAATTGGATCATGAATTTGCTTCAAGAATTAAGAGTTTCGGTGCCTAATGTACCTGTTATCTATTGTGACAATGTGAGTGCTACTTATGTTTGCACGAATCCTATCTTCCATTCTCGCATGAAGCACATTGCTATCGATTTCCATTTCGTAAGAGAACAAGTTGTTGCTAACCGACTTCGAGTATCTCATATACACACATCTGACCAACTTGCGGATTCTCTTACAAAACCTCTTGCTCGTACGCACTTTCTCAATCATCGAAACAAGATTGGTGTCCATAATGGACAGTCAATCTTGCGGGGGCATGATAAACCTACAGTTACATCTACACCAAATGAGGCTGCAATCAGCCGATAATCTCTCCAAGAATCAGCAGCAAGGCCACAAATCATCTTGTAATTAATGTGTATTATTCTCCATTAAGTCTACGGCTTAAGTCTTGTAATTTCCTATTTTAGTTGTAACAGTTGGTCAACTCCTCTGCATATATATAGAGGTTTGTAATAGTAGAAAATATAATACAATTCATTCTTCCAAACATATTATTTTATAGTTTCAAGTTTGATGAACCGGAAGCTGCAAGAGAACTCTTGTCTCTAGACTTGTCATTATTCGGCATTGAATCTATTTTTTTCGACTTAGGCGCCATAACCTGGAGTAACATTCGAAATACTAGACTTATTAATGCTTTCAAATTGTTCAATATAGAAGTAATCATTCATCACGCATCTTCGATGATAACAAATAACAAAAACGAGATTAATCATAATATCATATTTTTTAGGCGAAGAAAAAAGAACATGTGGGCAACATATGGGTAGTGAAACAAATGCAAGAAGTATAACCAAATACTCTGTCAAAGTTTTCAAATAAAAAAATTTAACTATATTGTCAAAAGTCTATGATAATGCTACAATTACGAGCCTATACCAAACATGAATACATCTATTATGCTACAATAACGAGCCTGTACCGAACATAATTGACTCTTTAGTTTCAACCACAGTTAGTCGAAATGAGATTATCTTAACAATGTACATGTGAAGCCCAATTCTAGTACAAGTGGCCATATCGAAAGTGCCACAACCAAGAAAGATCTTTCACTTCGACCATCAAGCAAGTGTGAAGAGTCTCAATCTTCAAAGGGAATAACCTGTTTGAACTCATTTGAACAATAGCAATAGCTCCTCTCGTTGGATCGTAAATTTCGCAAGCACCATTCAAAATAGTAATAACATAACCCTTTTCTTGCAATTGACCAGCACTTAACAAATTATTTTTCAAGTCTGGAACATACAAGACATTAGAGATTGTTTCCACAAAAACCATTCTTGGTTCGTATATTCACATCACCTTTTCCCATCACATTCACAGTAGAGAAACCTCCAAAACTAACACTAGAATGAAAACCTTCATTTAAACGAGTAAAATAAGACTTACTTCCACTCATGTGGTTGCTGCAGCCCGTATCCACATACCAAACACTCGGCTCCGGTTCTTTTTCACTTTGAACCGCCATTAACAAAATTTCTCCTTCCTTGTTTTCATCAAAATTCGACTTCTCTTCCTTGTCAATAGGCAGCCTGGTATAACATTCCGAATGATAATGACCAAATTTATGACATCTAAAGCACTCGACTTTAGACTTGTCACCGTCTCGGCCGTTTCCTTTACTGTGAAACTGGTCATTGCTACAAGAAAAACTAGTTTCAGTGACCATATTCTCAACGACCATAACTAAATGGTCACTGAATGTTCACATTTAGTGACCCAAAGTAATTTTGTACCAAAAGTGGGAAGGGTTAAATCGTGTTGCGACCTGCGAACATTTGGTAGCTATAAGTGGTCACTAATAGTTAGACATCTTGTAGCAACTAAAGTTAAAGTTTGTAGCGACAATTTTTATGGTCACTATAACTTAATGTCAATAGTGACCAATTTAACATTAATTTTTTTTACGGTTGCTACAAGTCTTTAATTTAATTATTAACAACCATTTAATTGGGTTGCTAGAAACCACTTGAATTTTGTTACTATGAAACTACTATGTAAATCAAATCGATTTGGTCACTAGTTTAGTTTTTAAACAAATCAAGAAAAGAAAAGAAAATAAAAGAAAGATGGGGCCGAAAATGCAAATAATGAAAAAATACAGCCATATCTTTCTTTCGTTTCTGCATCGCTCTCTTTCTCTCGCTCTCTCTCTCTCGCCTACTCTCTCCTTCTCCCTCTTGGTTTTTGGCTGGAATTCCTGAAATTAATTGGAGAAAATTCGAATTGAAGAAGGGGTTTGAAGAAGTGAGGTATATGAAACAAATTTGAGGTTGGAATTGCAAATCCCCAATTCAATTATCGACAAAATTAGGGTTGTGTGAACGAGGGGTTATGACGATGAAGTCACATCATTGGAAAGCTTGGGAAGTCAGCT